TTTTGATGGGGCCAACTTTAGTACTAACTTTAGTACTTATCATTCGGGCCCAGGAGTCCCAGGCCCAGGGTCCAGGCCAGACGAAGACTCTCTCGGAATGGTTATTGCCACGGCTAACTGCGACAGCTGAGGCTCGCTTCGTGACTGGCTTCCGTCGGCGGTGACCCCCCGCGTCATCTTGGTGCAGGAGCACCATTTGGCTGATCAAGATTCGATTGGTCGTGCTTCGAAGTTTTGTCTCGACCATGGGTGGAAGAGCCTGTGGGAGCCTGCAGTTCGGACGGCTGAAGGAGGTACGTCAGGAGGCGCAGCGATCCTGGCCAGGGGCTTCATGGGTCTCCACCAACCTCTGCAGATTTACATTGGCCGTGCTCTGGGTGCTGTTGCTCATCTCCCAGGGGGTGTTCAGTTTGAGCTCGTCTCTGTCTGCGGGTTCGACACGGAGGGCCTCGCGGCCAGGCAGTTGGAGCTTCATAAGGCGATCGGCTCCCATGTGGTCCTCGAAGGCTTCTCGTACGTGGTTGGGGGCGACTTCGACCTCGAGCCCCCAGAGCTCCGGGAAACTGGCTTTCTGGAGTTAGCTAGATGTGAACTTATTTCGACGGGTGCGCCTACATGTTTTGGTGCTCGTCAGTCGGACTACGACTTTCTCCTCGTTTCTGGAGGCTTGGCCAGAGGAGTGAAGCAAGTGCAGCGATGCGCGGATAGTGAGTTCTCGCCGCACTTCGTGGTGAAGCTGGAGTTCTACCCTGCCCTTTGCCGCCTGCAGGCCCTGGGTTTCCGTGGGCCCCCTGCTCTCCCTGTGGATGCACCAACGGGTGTGGGGTCGCCCCCGGGGGATTTCGGAAGGGCCCACATGTTCCTGGAGTGGGGGGGGGGAGCTTTGAGGTCCCAGGATGCCAATGAGGTCCAGCGTCTTCTGAGCAGGGGTTATCAGATTTGGGCCAACATCTCCGAGGGAGAGCTCTGTCAGAGGCTGGAGGAGGAGCTTCCCTGCCTTGGTTCTAGAGGCAAGGACCCCCAGGTTTGTTGGAAGCCGATCCCTCAGAAAGATGTCAAAGCTAGGCGGTGCCCAGAGCTTCGTGCCATGATATTGTTTTGTTCTAGGTTCCGTGCTGCTGCCCAACTTTTACCTGCAGTCTGGGCTGGACAAGCCTCGACTGACATCAGGCGCACCGTCGGCGAGCTGCTGACTGGCGTGCGCCAGTCTGAGTGGGTCCCTTGTCAGCTGTCCCACCAGGACAACGTTTCTTTGTTGCAGGACATCAAGGACTGGGATTGTTTCAACCCTCCTCCCCGCGTTGGGCTGGATGCCATTTTGAAAAGCTTGGCCTCAGGACATGTTGCCTCCCCTGCCTCTTGCGTCGGCGAGGTTGGGGGCGACTCCTTGCATGCTGCTGGCGATCCCTCTCTGAGCGACTTGGATCGGCCTTCTGACCAGCTTGCTGTTAGGCTTGCTAGACTGGAGGCCCTTCTCACGCGCCAGAAGGAGGTCCTAGCTGCGTGCGCGAAGCACTACCAGCGGACGGCTGGCCAGGACTGGCATGCTTGGTTGACGGATAAACTCAGTCAGGGGGCCCGCAATGCCCATTGTGCGATTAAAGACCCCCTGTGCTGGAAGCCCACTACTACCCTCTCCTCGGAGGGTCAGGTTGTTTCTGATCCCCAGCAGTTGCTCGACGCTGAGGTCAAAACGTACTCGGGCCTCTGGCAGGTCCATGTGTCGCCCCCGAAGCTCAGGTGCAAACCCTCCGAACCCCTTCCCCCTCTGGATGTGGAGTATCTTCGGAAGCTGAGCAGGAAGTACCCTAAGAGGAGCACCGTGTCCTACGATGGTTTTCACTTGAGGCATCTTCAGCACCTCAGTGATGCCAGCTTGGAGGTGCTCAGCTTGATCCTCTCGCTTGCTGAGCGCTCGGGCATTCTTCCGACCCGGCTTTCGGCTGTTCTGGTGGCCTTGCTGGCCAAGGAGAAGGGGGGATTTCGGCTGATCGGCATTTTCCCTTCGGTGTACCGCCTCTGGGGGCGGGCTCGTAGGCCTCTGGCGGAGGCCTGGGAAACGGTGGACGGCACAGAGGGGCTATGGATTGTGTGTGGCGCCAAGCCTTTAGGTCGGAAGCTGGCGTCAGGCGAGTTGCCTGCTCAGCCACTGTTCTGTGGGACATGCGCAAGTATTATGAGCTGATCGACCTCGAGGCGTTGGAGCTTAGAGGCCGCAGGCATCAGTTCCCACTGGGTGTCCTGCACATGTGTCTGGCGGCGTACAAGTCGGCACGATATGTCTGCCTCTCTGGTATCATCTCTGGCCCTCTGAGGGCCACTCATGGCATTATTGCGGGCTGCAGCATGGCCACTACCCTCATTCGTGTGCACGCCCTCGATGCCTTCGACACGGTTCCTCGTTCGCTCAGCCTGCACCGCATCGATCGGGGGACTTCGGAATTTTCTTCCTTCGACGCCTATATCGACGACACTAGCATCTCGGCGATTGGTTCCAGGTCCTTTGTTAGATCTACCATCCTGAACATGGCCTCTCTGCTTCTAGCGGGTATCAGGCAGATGTTAGGGGGCTTCGTGGCTCTAGACAAGGTTGCCTTAGTGTGCTCCTGTGGCGCTTTGTTTCAGCAGCTGGAGGCTGATCTGGGCCCTCTCGGTGCATTGGACACCTCCGCCATCAACCTCGGCTGCGACGATGCGGCTGGCAAGCGTTTCAGGACGGGCAAAGGGGGGATGAGGAAGCGTCATGAGAGGGAGATCAAGATGCAGCGCAAAGCTATGCGTTCGAAGCGGTATCGGTCTCACTTCGGGAGGAAAGCTGTCAATGTGTTCACTTCAAGCCCGTTGCCGGGATACATTTACGGTTGTGAAGTCCAGGGCCTCACGGACGGTGAGGTGCACCGTCTGCGGCGAGTGGCCGCCAGTTCCATCAGGCCCGATGCCGCACGCAGGTCGCTGACGGTGCTGTCTATTATTGAAGGGGACCCTGTTTGGTACGGCTCGGTTGCCCCTGTGCTGCGCTATATCAAAGAGGTCTGGCTTCTCAGGACTTGTGCTTTTCCTGGAACTCTGGGCTGGGCTACTTTACGGAGTTCCTGGGAGAGTGTGTTTGTCAGTCGTCAGCAATCTGTCTCTTGGAGGAGTGTCTCGGGACCGATGAGTGCCATGTTCATGAGTCTTAGGAGGATCGGGTGGGACATGGGGAACGTGGCTGTGTTTACCGACGACATGGGGCGAGAGCTCTCCTGCGCGCAACTCTCGCCAGCTCTTTTCAAGGTTCTGCTGCGCCAGGCTGTGCTGCGCCAGCTCGAGAGAGCGGCCTACGGCAAGCTGGGGAACGGCGATCTCTTTTGTGGCGTCGGAGTTCCTCCGCCAGAGCCTGTCCAAGGCCTAGATGAGCCTGCAGCCGTGGAGTTGGCCCCCGATCGGAACCCCCCCGACCTTGATGGATCGAATCGCCTGTGCTTCGATGTCGTCACGGCTGGTCTCCGCTCGAAAAAACTCACGGCCTGGGAAAAAGGCTCCGTTCGTGCCTTAACATGCAACGCCTTGTGGACCAACTCCCGCGCACTACGGTATGGCTACCAAGTGTGCCCTCTGTGCCCGCTTTGTCATGCTAAGGTGGACTCTGTCTTTCACAGATTATGGGAGTGTGAAGTGTGCAAGGAGGAACGGGACGAGCTAGTGGATGAGGAGGTTATCTCTTGGGCCAGGGATGCTTGTGACCAGAACTCAGGGGACCTCGTGAACTTCTTGACGGGTGCCTTTGCGCATCCTGGCGACTACGTGCCGCGATCAGTCAGTCAGCAGGGCTCGGACGCTGTCAAGATGGAGTTCTTCCAGGAAGGTCTCCAGGGTTCAGGCTTGGAATTTCCTGGGCCCGGGAATATCCGCTTCGAAGGCTGTCTTTTCCTGGGCGGCAGCTGTTTTCAGTCTAAGATTCGTGAATTGTCCAGGGTTGGCTGGGCTTTCGTGCTTATGTCTGATCAGGGCCACCTTCTGGCCAGAGTCCTTGGGCCTGTCTGGTCTCACTTGCCGCAGTCGTCTCAGGCTGGTGAGTTCTCGGCGCTGGCTGCTGCTGGTGTCAATTTAGACGGGCCCGCGACACTTTTCTCTGATTGTGCGTCGGTCGTCTCCGTGTGCTCCAGGGCGCCTCGGGACCGCCTGGGGGGGGGGGGGGAGGCAAAGGGCCTACGCGGGCTCGGTCCTGGAAGCCTTCGCGGGTGCGGGCCCCCCCCCCTCCAGGGCCTGGTCAAAGTCGCCGCGCGCAAAGCTGTAGATGAAGAAGGAATTTCTGCTCAGGAGGCTTGGCGGAGGACGGGACATTTTCATGCGGACCTCGCTGCGAAGCGGGGTGCTAATGTCCATCCCCAAGCCAACCCTGATGTTCTGTCTCGCGTCGAGCGCGAGATTAAGATCTCTAAGGCTGTCATCCTCTTGGCAGCCAAGATCTTGCCGCGCTGGCTGCGGCTAGACTTATCTGGCGTGCAATTCATTAAGCCTCAGGTTCGATCCGCTCAGACGTCGAAGACGCCTCATGAGTGGTGCTGGACGGACTGGGGAGTTTTGGCAATGCGGCACTTGCCTGAGGGGCAAGCGAGGTCAGGCGCGTCCTGCGCCTGGCCACTGTGTCGTGCCTCCTCGTCTGTGCCCGAGCCTCCTGGAACAGTTCAACCATCTTTGTGCTTTGTTGGACTGCACGGACGGCTCTTTCCTCTGCATCTGCCGTCGATGCGGCTTTTACAGCACAGGCGGCCGTGTCAAGAAGTTGGGTGAACCCTGCTCCTGTAAGAAGACAGGGGCAGGACTTACGGCCTGGAACTATGTTACCCAGGGCCGACACCCACAGCAAATCAAGAGGGAGAATAACGTACAGTTTTTGCCCTCTCCCTGGACTGTGCTGTGAGGAGAGGTGGTCCCCACTGGATGGGGGTCAAGCAGAGGTCGAGCGTTAAAAAAACAAATCCTCCTCCTCCCTTGCTTTCTCCCTCCTTCCTCCTCCTCCTCCTCCTCTCCCTCCTCCTCCTCCTCCTCCTCCTCCTCCTTCCTCCTCCTCCTCCTGGGTCTGCTGGTGGGGGCCGCAGCGGGTGGCACTAGGAGCGTCTCGGGGGGTGCCAAGGGTGCCCCTGGCCCAGGGTGCACCCCCGGCCTTTCGCTCGGTCCTGGGTCCCTGGGGCCCTCTGGGCCTCGCCAGGGTTGCTCTGGAGGCCTTGGTGGCCTTCTTGGAAATCCTGGGGGCTCCCTGGGCCAGGGGCACTTTTGGCAGCGCCCGACCTTCAGGCTGTGGGGCCCAGGAGCGGCTCGGCCGAGCGGCCGTCGCAGAAGACGCGGCCCAGGCAGCTGGGCTCCGCCCGCCCCGCCACGACACGCAGAAGAGGAAAAGCCTGTGCGGCGCGCTTCGCCTGCAGAGGGGGGAAAGCAGGCCGTGCACTCTTGACGCCTCGTGATCGATTCCTTGTTCACTGTTTTGCCGATCGGCGCGGGCCCTCGCACCCCCCCCTCCCCCCCCCTTCGTGGAGTATAGCCTGGCTGTTCTTGGCGCCTGTTCCGAGCAGGTGGAGTCTTCCCCAGAGGGCGCACTGCTGCAAACTGACGCATCAAGCAGAGGTCTGGAGCCAGATGCCCCACCTCCCTCCCCCTTTTCCGCCCAGTGTCGAAGCGCCGAATAGAAAACGTTCACCTCGCGCATCCCCACCAGCCCATCAAGAGACGGTTCCCGGGAGAGTCGTCGCGAGAAGGCTCGTGCCACAGGGATAGGCCACCCGTCGAGCCGGAGCTGGGCTCAGGCCGAGCAGCCCCCGACAGAGACCACTTCTCGGAGGTCTCTGGTGTTCTCTGGGAGTCTCTCGAAGGCCCCCGGGGGGGCCACAGGGCGCCGTTGGAGATCTCTGTGGGCTCGTCTGGGAGTCTTTGGGGCCCTCCTGGGGCAGCCCCGAAAGAAGACGACGACACCACGGGTGCACTCCACGAGCGCCCACCTTTGGAGCCTCCAGGATCTTCTCTCGGAGGCTCCTCTGGGCGATCCTGGAGTGCCTCTGAAGGCCTTCGAGACCGTCTTGGGGCCCTCCTGGGCCAGGCTCTGAGCTTTCTTGGGCCATCTCGGGCCACTTCGACGGCCCAGGAACCCCAAGGGCTCCCACGAGGGCGCGAAGTTGTTCGCGCTTCGCGCTTCGCGGTCCTCGTTCCTTCTCCCCCTCCTCCTCGTCCTCCTTCTCTCCCTTTGGGGGGGCGGCGCGAGAGCGTGAAGTTATTCGCGCTTCGCGCTTCTCGAAGCGCGAACCGCGAAGTTGGGAGCCCTTGTCGATGGCCCAGGAACTTATCGGAAGTGGAGAGGCGAACCGCGAAGTTGGGAGCCCTTGTCGATGGCCCAGGAACTCATCGGAAGTGGAGAGGCGAGACGACAAAGCCATTGAAACGTGCACGAGGTGTCTGAACGGTGTTGGCTTCTGGGGGCATCCGTGGAAGATTCCGCGGCCACTGTGGTATGTCGTGCTGACCATCCCTAGGCCTCGAGCCATGCTGGAGACGACTTCGGGCAAAGTCAGACCACTTCGCTGTGGGCAGTTGGCTACGAAGTCCATGCCTCGCTCATACGAGGTCGCCAAATTTTAAGTCGGGCGTGTCCCTCTACAGGAGGAATTTTTCAACATAGTCAAAAAGTAGTCTGGGGACTTATTCTATTTCTTTGATTACTTTTGAATATTTTTGGGGTATGTTTAATTTTCCGTCGAAGCTCTGCCTGTAGGAGGACATGCCCGACCTAAGCTTAATAAACAGTGGATCCGAGGGCCGCCTTCGCAACATGCAGCTTGGCTTTCGGTTCAGCCGCAGCGGTGCGCATCGGAATGGCGAGAGGCGTCCAGAACTGAATCGCTTCGACTGTCGTGGAGGTCCTGTGATACGTCTGCATCGGCGTTACCCCAACATACTTATTCGATATGTTCTTCGCCCCCCTCAAGGGCGACGCGCGCACTGAAAAATCTCATGTAGTACATGCGTCGTGGCGGGCGCTTTCTGGTCACACCGCTCGGGAAACGATACAATACAATCTGTGTCTGCTGTATGCTCGGGTCCGACGCGCGCCTCCAAGGAGTACACAGAGTATCCAAGGGCTCCCTCGAGGGCGCGAAGTTATTCGCGCTTCGCGGTCCTCGTTTCTCCTCCCCCTCCTCCTCGTCCTCCTATTCTCCCTTTGGGAGGGCGGCGCGAGAGCGCGAAGTTATTCGCGCTTCGCGCTTCGCGGAGCGCGAAGCGCGAAGTTGGGAGCCCTAGTATGTCTCTGCGATGCTGGGAACCTGTCGAGCGTCAGTGCGATTCAGATTGGGAAAAAACGGGGGACGAGTGCCGGCAGCAATTCTTGTCCATCTTGAACAGGACTCATTTAGCAACGTCGCCGCGGACGTTTTTCACTTGACACAAAAAGTCAACTGCACAACGGCGGCCGCTGCCAGTTTTGGACGACGTGTGCGATGGGGCATCGTACTTTGTTTCGTTGTCCGTACCCATATCAGGTGTGCCAAGACAGATCAGGGCCCATTCCGCAGCCATTTTGGCTCAAGGCTCAAGCCGTTTTTACAATCCGTTTTGATTGAGACCGCCAGCTTTCGCCAAACGTGCACTTTGCATTGATCCCCCTGACGGTGAGGACGCGCGGCCAGGGTGAAGCCGCAGCAATGATGAGGACGCTTGCCAGGTGTCGTATTTTGGTAATCAAGTTCAACGACCTGGATGCGCTCTTGCAGCTGTCGGGCGTTGTCAGCGCCCTGTTCCTGACCATGCTCATCGGATACAACTTCACCGTCACGCCGGAAGAGTATGCAAGGTACGACTTCGTTACTCTGATGCGATTTAGTGAGTTCCGCCTCTTTGCCGTAGGTGTCATGGACAGAGAGCTCTCTGAATGTCTGGACTTTTGCAACTCTGCGGGTGCAGATGGCTTGTGCACCGCGCAGTGCCAGAAGGAGGCAGTGGATTGGACCTTCACCGATCCGGTAAAGAACCAGTCATGGGACTTGCGGTCAGCGATGCTGTCGACTGAAGATTATGGTTATGGCTCGTCCGTCCCCGAGCATGAAGCGGCGATTCATGTGCTCGAGCCCGTGTTCCCCATGGAAAAGATGCTTGCTTGGAGCACGATGCACGACCGTTGGAATAACGCTTATCACCCAAGTTCCTACGACATATTGTATCCGTCCATGTGGGCCATGAGTCTAACTACCGTCGCGTTTGCGGCTTCCGTTGTCCTCTACGTGGGCCTTCAATTGTCCGACGCGCGGGGGGACGGTGGTTCAAAGGAAGGGACTGATATGCACCTTTGGGCCACAGCCGGAACCTTTGCCGTGTTCATGATGTTCCTTGCGCTCGTCGCTGCCATAGGCTTGTTCATCTATTCGGCCACTTCGGTCACGTGGATGCGCTACCCAGCGGCTCGGGAAGTCGGTCGGCAGGTCAACTCAGGGCCAAGGGTGGTCAGTTCGATCCTTTTGGTGATGTGTTTCGTGTTCACAAGCATTATCGTTCTCGGCGCGCCATTTTCTCGCGTCGGTGAGAATGTGAGAAAGAGTATTGGAAAGCGTTCATCACGTGATCATGGAGAGGAGGGCCGTGCGAGGGGGCCGTCAGAAACTGACGTGTAAGGTAATACTTGCGAGCGGTCCCCAGTAATCCACGACAAGGCCGTGTGCTTGAGTGAGCGCATCGGCGGTGTTTCGTCAGCGGTGCAAACAGAAGCTGCTGCCGCGAAGCGTCACATTTTTTTTTTGGTTTCAAAATCTGGGCTTGTGCGCCCATGGGGGACCAAGTCTTGTGCGCCCATGTCTCTTGCGGCTCAACCATCCAACGCGTCATTATTGTTCCACCTCCTCCCTCCTTTTGCCTTCTCGCCGCGGTTTCCTCCTCTTCCTCCTCCCTACTCCCACCTGCAAAGCAATGTGCTGCCAGGTCGTCCGAATGGTCGTCAAGCTTGGCGCGTTGCCGCTTGTTTTGATCGATGGCAAGCGTGTGCGCGCCTTTTTTCCGTGACGCCGCGATCAGCAGTTTGCCGATAGTGAATAGAGGAGTCGAGGGTGAGCAGGAGGGATGGTGGCAGAAGAAGCCGGAGCAGTCGGTCGGTGGAGTAGGCAGGGGACGGCCAGCCAGCGGGGGCGCTGTGTTGCGTGCCAGATTTTGTTGCCAGCGCTTCACGCGCGAGTCAGGCGTAGCGTGCTGCCGCTTGTTTGAATCGATGTCAAGCGTGTGCGCGCCTCGACTCCGTGGAACTGCGTTCGGCCGTCTCCATTGCAGATGGTGGACGGAGCAGGTCAGGGTGAGCAGGAGGGATGCTTCGGAAAAAACAAGACAGATCAGGGCCCATAGGTCCCCATGTGTCAACTAGGTCACCCGCGGGGACGCGAAGATATTCTCGGCCGCGGCCTGAGCCAACGGGGCGGCGCGCGGGCTGGAGGGTGGACAGATAACCGCGCACGGCAAGGCGCGGTGCGCGAAGTTCGGTGACCCAAATCAAGCAAACCGAACCATCGCAGGTTTGGGGAGGGGAGGGAGCGCTTTTTGTTGCTGTTTGCCTCCAGTGCCTCTAGAGTGCAGCACGCACCCTATTTGAGGAGGACACCCAACATCATCTCCACAAGGCACGACAACTGCTCGGCCAACGACACAGCGCACAACAGCCACCACGTCCGACGCACTACACAATGTCCGACCACACAGACCTCCCATGCCGGAGGCAAAGGCAAAGGGAACAGCAAATACCACCAGCAACATCAGTACGGCAATTGAGAAGGACCCGCCTTCCAGCCCATCGGTACCAACTGCACAGCAAGCCATTGACCAGCATACGACACGACTCCAAGACAACACAACCTGTCGAGCGTCAGTGCGATTCAGATTTGAAAAAAACGGGGGACGAGTGCCGGCAGCAATTCTTGTCCACCTTGAACAGGACTCGTTGCAGCAACGTCGCCGCGGACGTTTTTCATTTGACACAAAAAGTCAATTGCACAACGGCGGCCGCTGCCAGTTTTGGACGACGTGTGCGATGGGGCATCGTACTTTGTTTCGTTGTCCGTACCCATATCAGGTGTGCCAGCGTCCCACTCGACGATCCTCAGGACGTGTGTTGGCCCAATGTGCGTTTACCCCCTTCAGTCCAGCCAGTAGATCATTACATCGCCTGCGTCGTATCGAAGGGCCTCGACGGACGAGCACACGCTGGGGCTAACACCCGTCTGTAGGGCTGGGAGGCAGAAGCGCAGCAGGTGCCGGCGAGTGCTCTCGCGCGCGTCTGCGCGCGCGTGGAGCCCGCTCCACGTGTCGGCCAGCGTCAGGAAGCTTTTTTTTCACCACCGACTGATCAACTTCTCCTCCTCCCTCCTCCTCCTCCTCCCTCCTCCCTCCTCCTCCTCCTCCTCCTCCCTCCTCCTCCTCTTCCTCCTCCTCCTCCTCCTCCTCCTCCTCCTCTTCCCCCGCTCTCCCACTTCGCTAGTCAAATCTCGAGAAGGGCTCGGCGATCAAAGGCTGAGCGAGTGGTTGGGAAGGCATCGGCAGCCGAGTCTGCGCCGCTGAAGGACTGGGTTGCCCAAATCGAGCAGGTCAAGAGGAAGTCTGTTTCAGGAGGGGGAAGAGCAGCAGCAGCAGCATGTTGAGCCCTATGTTGTCCGTGAAGGGGATGTCCAGAAATTTGAAATCATGTCGGCAGGAGGAGGCAGACGAGGACGAGTGCTCACAGCATGCCGTGGTTCCAGGCAAACCTCGAGCAAGAAGGGCACGGTCCACTTGTGGCCAACCGACGGTGGCAATACCCCTGCCGTCCTGACGTGTTGTCGACGACGCCTCCAGCGAATGACTGCAGCCCTTGCGTCTCTGGCAGCGCTTCTCGAGCCCCCGGGGCGGGGGGACAGGGCGGGCCCCCCGGGGGAGCACGCAAATCTACAAATCAGTAAAGGCTCAGGTGTATGGTCTCTTACCGAGCGCGTTCCACTACTCGCAAAGTGCCTGCCTACTCGCAAGCGTCCGAAACAGCATGTCTTCCTCGATGTGTTGGATCGTGAAGCCCTCGCGGCGGATCCAGGCCACTTGCGAGTAGTCACTTTGCGAGTAGTGGAGCGCGCTTGTCCAGTCTCGAGGCGCTCTCGGCTGAACACTTGGGCCTGTTTGGGGGAACCCCTTGGGCTGGTTTGGGGCTCTCTTTGGGCCGTCTCGGGTGTTTCGGGGCCTCTTCTTGGGCCCTCTCGGGACCATGTCGGCGTCCCCATGCGGGAGTTCTGGCGGGCCTGTGAGACGACGTCTGGTGGGGTCTTCCTTGGGGCTCTCTGAGTGCGGGGTCTTCCTTTGGGGCTCTTCGAGACCAGTCTTTGCCTCACGTTGGCGCAGTTTTGGAAGCCAGCTTGGGCCTGCTGGCGCCTTTCGCGGCCCCTCGGGGGGCCTCTCGGGCCGTCCAGGGGCCCACCGGGGGCCTCTTGATCCTCTCCGGAGGTCTCTGGGGCCGTCTTGGAGCCATCCGAAACCAAGAGCGAGGAGCATCAACCCTCCACAGCGCCATGCGGAGACCGGGGAGTTTCTCTTGTCACGGGCTCTCCGCGAGGGCATCATGGAGTTTCTGGTCGCCTTTGGGGGCCATCTCGAGGCCTCTCGAGATCAGCTCGGACAACTTTGGCCACGAGCCCGGGCCGTCTCTCAGGCTCTTGGAGGCCGTGCGGAGGCGGAGGAGGAGGAGGAGGAGGAGGAGGAGGAGGAGGAGGAGGAGGAGGAGGAGGATGGGGGGAGGAGGAGGAGGAGGAGGAGGAGGAGGAGGAGGGAGGAGGGGAGGAGGAGGAGGAGGAGGAAAAGGAGGAGGAACAGGATGTGATGGTGTGGCTGGTGCAGAGGAGGACGGGGCCGGAAGAGCATGATGACGAGGCGTACGGAGAGGTGCAGCGCCAGGTACCGTGGGACCTGCGCGGATTTGGTGTTCGCCTTCGAGGCTTCGTGGGGGTGCTGCGGACACGACGGGCCCAACTCCACGGAGGTGACAGCGCCCGCGGATGCCAAGCTGGGCGGCGGTGTACGAGGCTTGGGCAGGTAGTCTGGGGGAGTAAAATGACACGCGCACTCACGTGGAAACCCCACTTATGCAATCAGCCCATGCCGCTTCACATCAATCCGTGCGTCCGTCTGATCCCAGGAAGCAACTGCATGTCGTGTCACGCATGTCGTCGCAACATGCCGCAGGTCTCAGCGGCGGATTCGCACGCGCACGTGATTCACTACAGTCGTGTTTGCATGCGCGTGTAACACGTATGATCGGATGCCATCTCACATGTGTGTACAAAGACGAGAAACGCAGGCTGGGGGTCCACGGAACAGTGCTTCAAACGCAGTGCGGGGTGCCATGTCCCCATCGGCTGGGACTCCGACGACAAGATTGCTCCACTGGAGGCCCAAGATCGTCCCCAGACGACCCAAGATGCCCGGCAGGCAGCCCGAGTAGACCGAATCGCAGCCCAACAGTGCTCCAAGATTGCCGCATGGGCTCCCGAGAAGCCCTAAGAGTGGTCCAAGAGAGTCTCCACGAGGCCTCTGAGAGGCCCCCATCTCCGGGTTTTTGTTACGCGTGTGATGCCTCCACCTTATTCCCTGACTCCCGCCTCTATCCACACCTCCGTCCTCCTTCCCCGACGCAGACTCACTCACCCACATTTAGACCCACTCACACTCACACTCGCTCTCATAATCAATCACTCATACTCAGTCCACACACACTCAGTTCCACTTACACCCAGACTCGGTCATACTCGGGTTCACTCGCACTCAGACCTGCGTATACTCAGATCCACCCGTAGTCGAGTGACTTCCATGCCACTCAGACTCAGTCTCAGTCGCGCTGGAACATATTCGCTCGTACTCAGCCTCGCTCATGCTATATTTAGGTCGGGCATTTCCCCCTACAGGCGGATCTTGGAACAAAAAACGTAATCAACACATATCCAAAAGTAGTCAAACATAGTCGAACAATCGTCCCCAGACTATTTTTCATTACCATTTTTGAATATCATTCCTGTAGGGGGACATGCCCGACTTAAGCTTAATGCACAGTCGCCCACGCAGACTCACTCATTTTCAGACTCATTCGCACTCATATTCACCCGTCTACAGGCTCACTCACCTGCAGACTCGCTCACACTCGGACCCTCTCATGCTCCGATTCAGTCGTACACAGCCCGCCCAGACAGCCGTGCACGTGCCGCTTCATATCCAGACTCACTCATACAATTATGCGTAGACTCACTCTGGGACTCCCAGATTTCATTCTACTTTAGGCGCCTTCCTACTTCAATGATCGCGTGGTTTCACCTCTTCCGTCCTCCTTAGGGGGCGGACGGACACCCAATCTATTTTCAACGCCTTCCTACTTCATGCTTCTACCTACTTCTTCTGACCGATGGGTACTGAGACCAAGCCACATTCAGATGCGATCATATTCTGACCACCCGATGCAGCAGGAGTGGGTCAGGGCCACCCATGGGGGGGGGGAGGGGGGGCGGTCGACCAGGAGTGTTTCACGGGCCCGTTCGCGCCCGGATTGTGTGCATGTCTCATGCGCAGCGTCGCCACGATGTGGCAGGCGTGATGCTCGTGCCACCCTCGAGGGACGTCGACCGAGGGCGTTCCACTGGCCCGGTCGCGCGCCCATGCTGTGGGGACGTCTCAGGCGAGAAGCGCCCGCTTGGGGCAGTAGGCGTGCCTTCTTGCAGGGCCCCATGGCCACCGCGATGCTGTAGGCACAGCGCTTGAGCCACCCAACAGGGGCGTCGAGCAGGGGTGCTTCACGGGCCGTTCGCGCCCAGACTGCGGGCACGTCTCAGGCGTAACACTTGTTGTGGCCAACTGGGGAGCCCCATGGTCACCGAGATGCAGCTGGCATGGTATTTGGACCTCGCAACGGGGTGTCGACCCGGGGTGTTCTACGGGCTGGTTCTCGTCCAGACTGTGGGGATGTCTCAGGCGAAGCGCCCGTTTTGGTGTATTTTCAGAGCCCCATGGTCACCGTGATGTTGCAGGCATGGCATTTGAGCCTCCAAGTGGGGTGTCGACCGAGGGTGTTTCACGGGTCCGTTCGCGCCCAGATTGGGAAGATGTCTCATGCGATGCGCCATTGTTGGAAAGTCCACGTGTCTCCTGTGAGGGCCCTATTGTCGCCACGACGGAGCAGCCGTGACATCTGTGCCACCCAAGAGGAGCGTCGACCACTGATGTTCCACGTGCCCGTTTGTGCCTATGTTGTGGGGGCGTCTCGGGCGAAGCGCCCGCTTGGGGGAGTAGGCGTGCCTCCAGTCAGGGCCCCGTGGTCACCGC